GCAGCCATGGTCCCGGCCCCAGCAGCCATGGTTCCAGACCCAGTCCCGGCCCCAGCTGCCATAGTCCCTTCTCTAGTCCCTTCCCTAGTCCCTCCTCAGGTCACTTTCCTAGTCCCTTCTCTAGTTCCTTCTCCAGTCCCACCTCTAGTCACTTCTCTAGTCACTTCTCAAGTACCAACTCTAGTCCCATCTCAAGTCCCTTCTCTAGTCCCTACTCAAGTCCTTTCTCAAGTCCTTTCTCAAGTCCCTCCTCTAGTCACTTCCCTAGTCCCTTCTCCAGTCCCTCCTTTAGTCACCTCTCTAGTCCCCTCTCTAGTCCCCTCTCTAGTCCCTCCTATGGTCCCTCCTCTGGTCCCTTCCAGAGCCCCTTCTCTAGTCCCTTCCCTAGTCACTCCTCTAGTCCCTTCCCTAGTCACTCCTCTAGTCCCTTCTCTAGTACCTTCCCTAGTCCCTCCTCAGGTCACTTTCCTAGTCCCTTCTCTAGGCCCTTCTCTAGTCCCTTCTCTAGTCCCTACTCAATTCCTTTCTCAAGTCCCTCCTCTAGTCACTTCCCTAGTCCCTTCTCCAGTTCCCCCTTTAGTCACCTCTCTAGTCCCCTCTCTAGTCCCTCCTCTGGTCCCTTCTCTAGTCCCACCTCTAGTCCTACCTCTAGTCCCACCTCGAGTTCCCTCTCGAGTCCCCTCTCCAGTTCCCTCTCAGGTCTCCTCTCGAGTCCCATCTCGAGTCCCCTTTCGAGATCCCTCTCAAGTCACCTCTCAAGTCAACTCTCAAGTCAACTCTCAAGTCACCTCTCACGTCCCCTCTCGAGTCACCTCTCGAGTTCCATCTCTAGTCCCTTCTCAAGTCCCTCCTCTAGTCACTTCTCTAGTCCCCTCTCTGGTCCCTTCCCGAGTCCCTCCTCTAGTCCCTTCTCTAGTCCCATCTCTAGTCCCTACTCAAGTCCCTCCTCTAGTCAATTGCCTACTCCCATCTCTAGTCCCTCCTCTAGTCACTTCTCGAGTTCCCTCTCCAGTCACTTCTCAAGTTCCCTCTCCAGTCACTTCTCGAGTTCCCTCTCCAGTCCCCTCTCGAGTCCCCTCTACAGTTCCCTCTCGAGTTCCCTCCTCTAGTCCCTCCTCTAGTCCCTGCTCTAGTCCTTCCTCTAGTCCCTCCTGTAGTCCCCTCTCTAGTCCCTCCGCAAGTCCCCTCTCTAGTTCCCCTCTCGAGTCCCCTCTCCAGTTCCCTCCTCTAGTCCCTCCTCTCTCCTCTAGTCCCCTCTGGAGTCCCCTCTCTAGTTCCCCTCTCGAGTCTCCTCTCGAGTCCCCTCTCGAGTTCCCCCTTGGTTCCCCTCTCGAGTCTCCTCTCGAGTCTCCTCTCGAGTCCCCTCTCGAGTCACGTCTCAAGTCCCTACTCAGTGTCCTGTCCCGTTGGAGGCCCCGCCGACTACTCTTCTATCGGGGGTCCTGCCAACTCCATGTCCTGTCCCGTTGGAGGCCCCGTCGACTACTCCTCTGCCGGGGGTCCTACCAATCGTATGTCTGTCCCGTTGGAGGTCCCGCCGTCTACTCTCCTGCCGGGGGTCCTGCCAGCTCCTTGTCCTGTCTCGTTGGAGGTCCCGCCGACTACTCTCCTGCCGGGGGTCCTGCCAACCCTTTGTCCTATGCCGTTGGAGGCCCCGCCAACTACTCTCCTGCCGGGGGTCCTGCCAACCCTGTGTCCTGTCCCGTTGGAGGCCCCGCCGACTACTCTCCTGCCGGGGGTCCTGCCAACCCTTTGTTCTGTCTCGTTGGAGGCACCGCCGACTACTCTCCTGCCGGGGGTCCTGCCAACCCTATGTCCTGTCCCGTTGGAGGTCCCGCCGTCTACTCTCCTGCCGGGGGTCCTGCCAACCCTTTGTCCTGTCTCGTTGGAGGTCCCGCCGTCTACTCTCCTGCCGGGGGTCCTGCCAATCCTATGTCCTGTGCCGTTGGAGGCCCCGCCGACTACTCCTCTGCCGGGGGTCCTGCCAACCCTGTGTCCTGTCCCGTTGGAGGCCCCGCCGACTACTCTCCTGCCGGGGGTCCTGCCAACCCTTTGTCCTGTCTCGTTGGAGGTCCCGCCGTCTACTCTCCTGCCGGGGGTCCTGCCAATCCTATGTCCTCTGCCGTTGGAGGCCCCGCCGACTACTCCTCTGCCGGCGGTCCTGCCAACCCTGTCCTGTCCCGTTGGAGGCCCCGCCGACTACTCTCCTGCCGGGGGTCCTGCCAACCCTTTGTCCTGTCTCGTTGGAGGTCCCGCCGTCTACTCTCCTGCCGGGGGTCCTGCCAATCCTATGTCCTGTTTCGTTGGAGGCCTCGACATCACATGTCTCACTGGGGGTCCTGCCTACTCCTGGTCCTCTTCCGTGGGGGATCCTGCCGAAGCCTGTCCCACCGGCTCGGGTTCCTGTCCGGCCGACACCGGGTCCTGCCTGGCCTCCGGAGCTGTCCCGTCAGCGCTTTCCTGCCCGGCCTCCGGAGCTGTCTGGTCTTCGCCCTCGAGCCCGGCCCCCTGACTCTTCTTGCCGCTGCCTTCACCCTCATGCTCGGCCGCCCGAGTCCCCCACCTTAGACTCTGCCTTGCCCCCGAGCCGTCCGCCCGAATCCCCCTTTTGAACTCTGCCTTGCCCCCGGAACGTCCGCCCGAGATCCCTTCCTGGTCCTCTGCTGTGCCCCTGGGCGGTCAGCTCAGTCCCGTCCTCCTGACCCCCTCCACCCACCCTGGTGGCCTAGTGATACGCCTAACCCTAACCCTATTAGTAGGTCTGCAGCTTCTCTTCTCTACTTCAAACTTCAAAAACATAGCCGTTACGTCACTCAGTGATCCTCTCAGATTGACAGCTTTTTGATTTGTTTCTCCCCAAAAAGCTGCAACTGAGGTTTCTCTAGCCTTTTGGGACATGAGTCTTGCCCACGAAAGAGCAACTCAGAGTTCAGCTCTGAACATGACACTCGCAAGAACCCCGATCTGTGAGAGTTTATCTGTGATGTCAGCAATAAAGAGAATATAAAATATCTGTGGCAGAGAGGGAAAGAACACAGGGCAAAAGTGGAAGATGGAGAGAAAAAAGGGTAAAGTGGAAGATGGAGAGAAAAAGGGTAAAGTGGAAGATGGAGAGAAAAAAGGGTAAAGTGGAAGTCAGGGAGAGGAAGGGAAACTGTTGAACAGAGAGAGAAATAAAGACAGAGGTGGCAGAGAGTGTGCGTGGTTCTCTCTGATATCCACTGGAGGGGATGAGCTAGCCATTGATATTGCAGCTCCACTGGCAAAAAAATTACTTTGAGATGCATGTGTGTTTTCTGTGCATTGGGTTAAAGCACAGTGAGCAGCAGAAGCACAGCACAGCCTAGTGGTAGGAAGACAAAGAGTCTGAGGCAGGACGAGGGATCTGTTTATAACTGCCTTTAAAATAACTATCCATGTTTGAGACAAAACTTTTTTAGATCTTGTCAAAACTACTCTCATTAACCTGTACATTTTTCTGTTCACACTTTCCCTCAATTTAAAGTACTTTTATCTTGCAGTTGGGTTGTTAACATTTTTGTATTTTTATCCTAAACCTCTTTTAACTTTGTTCTCCCTCCCTACACATGTGATTCAGAAACTCTCTAAGGCATAATCTACACGCATGTAGTTTTTTTTTTTTTAAACTTCTCAAATAAAAAAAGGACACCATCTTCTGATGCAACCACATCAGCCAGGGCTAGCTCGCACCAGAACCATTTTTAAACATAGCTTTCATTTTGAGCTTGACTACACATCTAAAGTGTGTAACTGCAACTTGTACATTTGTGACACTATTGGAGAGGCTACATCTGTCAAAAGACAGACAAAAAAGGTTTTTAGGCACATTTTGACATGACTGACGACACACACAGACTTACAAGATGAGTCGCTGACACTGCCAGTTACAACCGTAAACAGAAGCCATTTTTGTTTTAATTGTCAGAATAAATAAAAACGCAAACATACAAATGAAGCGTAAAGGTCAGTGAGCAGCTTGATAAATGACACTAGTTTGTGATACTTAGTCATCAGCTTGTCACTCAGATGTAGGAATAATAACTAATAAATGAACTTCAACAGCATTTCCTTTTGCAATCCTTTCTTGCAGAATGACAGTAAATGACACACCTATGTCATGTTGTCTGTGTAAAGGTATTTTAGTATAAAAGCAACAGATGTGTTGCTCCAGGGCACGAAAAAAAGGATTGTCTGTCTGCCTTGGAGCTACAACATTTTCGCTGTCACCATAGGCGTAATTTATACTGGGGAAATGTTCCCGACACAATTACCCTAGTGCAACACTGGCATTAGCATAATTTGTTAGAAATGTTCTGTAAATAGCGTGCACAAAGAATTGTGAATTGTGAAGGACAAGAGAACATGTAAAATCTCGAGGACATGCAGTTCAGACTTATTGGGTGTTTTTCTAGTGGTGCAGTGTGGACCTGTGACTCGTTTAATTGAATAGCTGTCAAAAAAAGTATGCATACGTATGTATGTTTATATTGTTTGCGGGTGGCGCTTAATGCAGTAGTGTTTTTTTTTTCTTCACACTATCGGACTAGTTTCTGACAATATGCATTCTATATTGGTCTGAAACAGGATTTTGCTCCTGAAATCAAGAAATCTAAGATAAATCAGAGCATCCCTAATTTAAATAGTTACATTTTTTTACAAGTACAAATCTCCGTTGCAGTGCTGCTGAAACACACAGCGTGATGATCACACCTCACAGCAGGTGATGGGCGCTCACTCCGCCTCACAGCTGACCACTTCTGCTCTTGCCTCTTGCTCTACCTTTTCTACAGGATGGGCTTTCCTCTAGCTACTCCTCATTGTTGACTGGCAGTGTGTGTGTGTGTGTGTGTGTGTGTGTGTGTGTGTGTGTGTGTGTGTGTGTGTGTGTGTGTGTGGTGTGTGTGTGTGTGTGTGTGTGTGTGTGTGTGTGTGTGTGTGTGTGTGTGTGTGTGTGTGTGTGTGTGTGCGCGCACACGTACCTGTCTGATGGGCTCTGGGACTCGGTAGCGGCAGCAGGAGTGTGTGAGGCGTACAGCTGTGTCCAAACTGATCCTGTGGCCAACGGACACGTACACCGGCTTAGAGCTTTTGTTGCAGCTTCGCAAGGCCTAGACGGAAAAATAAATGTCTCTTGTAACTGATAGGCAGAGGAATTGAATTCAGTATGACCCTAATATATACGGTGTATGACTTCTAGCAGGGTGGGTGCTCTTTGAAGTCAGCAGCAACAAAACAGCACCTTTGTTTAAAAGTTTTGTTGTGTGTGTCCTTTGACGCACCTTTCCAAGCACTTTGCCCGAGGTGGCTGTGAGGGGGAAGCTGTCTCCTCCTTTCTGCAGAGCAGTGATCTGCGGGGGCAACAAAACAAAAATCAAAGTCAAAGAAGATGTACAGCATATGGCAATACAAGAGAATCTAAATATTAACCCGCCACCGTGGAGGCTTGCATTCTGTGTGACTTCACTCTCATGGATACACTTCTGGAGCTGTGGTATGTTCTAAAACTCCAAACTATAGTAATGTTTTGAAGGAAACACCAATGAATTTGCTTTATATTTTAGTGTTTTCTAAAAAAAACATGAAATGATATTTCTACGGAAAAAGAAAGGATTGAGTAAAAATGTTAACCAGGCATCTCGTAGTCCTGATAATGTGACTATTCTTTTAATGTGCTAACCTGAGCAACTGGGAATTACATTACAATGCAGAAACAGCTGTGCGTGTTGTATGAAGGATACACTTTAAGGTACTGACAAGCCCTACTTTGGACTGGATTACCATTTTGTTTATTAAAATGTATGGAAATGCAAAAAAAGAAATGGTAAATGCTTTTTTGGTACAAAATGTTTTTTGTCTTTACAAACTACAAATGTCAACAAAATGTCCTTTTCCCCAAGTATTTGTTTTGTATATACATTAGCTTTCCATCCATCCATCCATCTTCTCCCGCTTATCCGTGGTCGGGTCGCGGGGGTAGCAGTTCCAGCAAAGAGCCCCAAACTTTCTTTTCCCTGGCGACATCAACCAGCTCTGACTGGGGTATCCCAAGGCGCTCCCAGGCCAGCGAAGAGATATAATCCCTCCACCTGGTCCTAGGTCTACCCCTTGGTCTCTTCCCAGCTGGACGTGCCTGGAACACCTCCCTAGGGAGGCGCCCAGGTGGCATCCTAACTAGGTGCCCGAACCACCTCAACTGGCTCCTTTCGACGCGAAGGAGGAGCGGCTCAACTCCGAGTCCCTCCCGGATGACCGAACTTCTCACCTTATCCCTAAGGGAGACACCAGCCACCCTGCGGAGAAAACCCATCTCGGCCGCTTGTATCCGCGATCTCGTTCTTTCGGTCATGACCCATCCTTCATGACCATAGGTGAGGGTAGGAACGAAAATGGCCCGGTAGACAGAGAGCTGTGCCTTCTGGCTCAGCTCCCTTTTCGTCACAATGGTGCGGTAAAGCGACTGCAGTACCGCTCCCGCTGCTCCGATTCTCCGGCCCATCTCACGCTCCATTGTTCCCTCACTCGAGAACAAGACCCTGAGATACTTGAACTCCTTCACTTGGGGTAAGGACTCATTCCCTACTTGGAGTGGACAGTCCATCGGTTTCCTGCTGAGAACCATGGCTTCAGATTTGGAGGTGCTGATCCTCATCCCAGCCGCTTCACACTCGGTTGCGAACCGATCCAGTGAGTGCTGAAGGTCGCAGACCGATGAAGCCATTAGAACCACATCATCTGCAAAAAGCAGTGGTGCAATCCTTAGTCCACCGAACTGCAGACCCCCTCCCACATGACTATGCCTCGAAATCCGATCCATGTATATTACAAACAGGATTGGTGACAAAGCGCAGCCCTGGCGGAGGCCAACCCTCACCGGAAATGGGTCCGACTTACTGCCGAGGACCCGGACACAGCTCTCGCTTTGGGAGTACAGAGATTGGATGGCCCTGAGTAGAGTCCCCCTCACCCCATACTCCCGCAGCACCTCCCACAGTAACTCCCTGGGAACTCGGTCATACGCCTTCTCCAAGTCTACAAAACACATGTAGACCGGATAAGCGTACTCCCAGGCCCCCTCCAGGATCCTTGCGAGAGTAAAAAGCTGATCCGTCGTTCCACGACCAGGACGGAATCCGCATTGTTCCTCCTCAATCTGAGGTTCGACAATCGGCCTGACCCTCCTTTCGCGTACCTTAGAGTAAACTTTCCCGGGGAGGCTGAGTAGTGTGATGCCTCTGTAATTGGCACACACCCTCTGATCCACCCCGTTCTGCCACTCCTTCGGTACCGTTTCCGACTTCCACGCAATGTTGATGAGACGCGTCAACCATGACAGTCCCTCAACACCCAGAACCTTCAGCATTTCTGGGCGGATCTCATCCACCCCCGGGGCTTTGCCACTGTGGAGTTGTTTGACGACAGTAGTTATACACATACCACTCTCGTCTCATTAGTATGCATAGAAAGTGACAGGTCACACATCTAAGCCCCGCCCCCTTCCGCCGGAAGTCCCGCCCCCACTTCCGGTTTTTCAAAAATACAATTAAAAAATATTTTGAAAATGATAAAAATAAAAATGCTGCCCCTACCGGTCGCCCCCCACTTCCGGTTTTTCAAAATAAAATAAAAAAATATTTTAAAAATGATAAAAATAAAATGCTGCCCCTACCGGTCGCCCCCACTTCCGGTTTTTCAAAATAAAATTAAAAAATATTTTTAAAATGATAAAAATAAAAATGCTGCCCCTACCGGTCACCCCCGCTTCCGGTTTTCAAAATAAAATAACATGACATTTAGCAACCATGAGAAAAATAAAATGCTGCCCCTGCCGGTTTTCAAAATAAAATTTGAAAATAATTTGAAAATGATAAAAATAAAAAATGATGCCCCTACCGGTCGCCCCCGCTTCCGGCAAAATAACATGAAATGTAACAACCAGGAGAAAATAAAATGCTGCCCCCTACGGTTTTACAAAATAATAATTTTATAATGAATCACATATGCATAGGATCAATGTCCCTGCCACCTAGTCACTTCCTGTGCGCTTGTATACAGCAGTATTGACTGCAACTTACAAATACTTGCAAATAACATGAAATATACAACCATATATTTTAAAAGTAATGTCTCAGCTCTAAAGAGCAAGGTCCCGCCACCTAACCACTTCCTGTGCCCCTGTATACAGCAGTATTGACTGTAACTTACAAATACTTGCAAATAACAAGAAATATACAACCATATATTTTTAAAAGTACTGTCAATCTCACTAACTCTCTCTCTCTCTCTGCTATGAAGAGTGCCGTGAAAAGTTTGGTGAACAGTCAAGACAGGTGTGGGGGGACGTCATAAAACCCCCAGACATCCTCTGCGGGACAAATGGTGGGGCGATGGGGAGGGGACACACACACACACACACACACACACACACACACACACACACACACACACACACACACACACACACACACACACACACACACACACACACACACACACACACACACACACACACACACACACACACACACACACACACACACACACACACACACACACACACACACACACACACACACCACACACACACACACACACACACACACACACACACACACACACACACACACACACACACACACACACACACACACACACACACACACCACTCAACCCCTCTTCCGTTCAGGATGTTTCTTTTCAAGTTTTTGTGAAACTGCTAAAGAAGTATTTGTTTTGCAAAAGAGGTTATTTTCAAAAGATCTTATTTAGGTTTTAATAGTGATACCTAAGGGTATTCTCTTTCAGTATATGGATTTGTGAACTAATGTGTAATTACTTTTATTAACTATAACTGCACAGGATCATTCTAAGAAGAGTGAGAGGGCTAATGAGCCAGCACCATACCTCCTCTATGCATTTTCTTGACCTGTATCTGATCATGAAAAACTTGACTCTTTTTAAAAAAGTTATTTTTCATCTATCATTTTCAACCATGCAACAAGAGATCAAATTTAAGAATAAGTAATAGTTTGTCACGATTTTACGGGAAATAGTCAGTGCGCAATGTCACATCTTAAAGACAGCTTGAACTGGATAAATGGTTAGTCTTTTTTCAAAACATACCGTACGTTCTGCATGTTAGTATATTTGGTCAATCGATTAGACCCTACTGCCCTCAATAGGGAAGTCACGCTTTGGGAAGAGGTGTTTCATTTCACAGATCCACCTTGATTTGTTGTTGTGAGGGGTGAAGGAAGAGGGACGGGGGGAGGAAAATTCAGAGGATGAAAAAGCAGAAAACATAACTTGTTTTGTAAAACGGTCAGCACGTCAGTTTCAAGAAAGACGTTTGCATACATAAAAAAGTGTATCTTACAGTTCCTTTTGTGAGAGAATTACACACAAATCTGCAGAGTGTCACTAAAAAGTTGTAACACAGGGACTGACATTCTGTATGGGGTTTCACACGGACACAAAGTCTACTTCATTATCTACTTTGTCAGCTTTTATACACAAAAGTGTATCTTTCAGTAACTTTCTCAGAGAATTTAAGCATAAATCTGTCAAAGATTCTTAACGAAATCTACTTCATTATCTACTTTTCAGCTTTTATACACAAAAGTGTATCCTTCAGTAACTTTCTCAGAGAATTTAAGCACGACAATAATTAGTAGTTAGACATTTTGGATATCGTGCGTTCTGGCAGTACTATTCCGGTCATTGGGAAACTTTTTTTGGGACCCATTTAAAAGAGAAATGTTCTCTGTCGTTCTTAATGCAAAAACAAATCATCTCTACTCCCTTTGGGGTGAAGTCCAGGAATGTTCTCGGGGGGAGTGGACACTTGCTGTTACATGGCATAAAGCTTCTGCAGAGTGCCAATAAATGTATAGTTTCCCTAAAGCTCCATACATTTACACATATTGACTAATGACATGAGGGGTAAATAAAAAACAAATCTAAATATCACCAATTATTCCAGAATGTGACTAGAATAGAGTCTAGAGAATGGACCCAGGCTTTGTCTTCAGCCACCAACTAAATAGGGGCGTGCTTTTTTTTTTTAATCACCAGTATGTTACTCACCATTGAAGACAGTGTTGAGGGGGCAAGCAAAGTGTACTCAGCGGCAGATTGCATGGAAGCAGAAAGGCCTGGCTCAGACACCATGTCTCCAAAGGTTGACTGGGAACTTCCAACCAGTTCCATCACCTGTTTAGCTTGAGGGAATTTAAACACCATTAAAAATATGGATTACAGAAAAACAATATATGTATTAATGTAGTCCATCCATCCATCTTCTCCCGCTTATCCGTGGTCGGGTCGCGGGGGTAGCAGTTCCAGCAGAGAG